ACATGTGATAATAAGTCAAAAGTGCTTTTGTCACATGAAAATCAAAAACATAATACGAACTTAATGGAACAAATTACGTAGAAATATTGTAACTCTCCCGTTTAAGCATAAAAATTTATCGACGAATTTCGTTCGCAGAATCATTAAACTTCTTTCCTGAAAAATTGTCATTTGTGAACTTATTACATCAGTTGCGATTTGTTATTTAATACGGAATACTAAAACAATCAATCAAGAACATTTTACATACAAACTAAAAGATCTGTTATTTATTTCAAATAGCAGATAAACTTTGAACCATTTACAAACAGATGCTCGAATACTTTGCAATAATAAAAACCCTACTTTACCTAACTTATTGAACTAAAATTATAACATTTTTGACAGTACAAGTTGCAATAGATTTTTTCGACTTTATTGCTTATTTTGATAGCTTTTGAACAGCGAATGAAATTTGTCGGTCTATACTGACTCCTCTATGGGAGTTAACTTAGATACTATTAGTATGTCGATCTTTTTTAAGTTTGGAATGCAAACTGACTAATTAATTAATTTTTTCGACTCTTTTCGACTTCGATTGTGTATAATATCCGTTGTCTAGCTTCGTTTAAAGACAATATGAAGGTATTCTTCTTAAATTTACTACAATAGCTTAGAGATGCTATGTACTCATTAAAAATTTAGTAGCAGTAGTAGTAGAGTTAGGGAAATACTGCCACCTTACCTATTTCTGCTGCTGCTGTTTTAAAGGGCAGGGGTACTGGTGAAATTACAGGCACATGACTTGTCAACTTATGTCTCAGGATGACACGCGCAGTGTTAGTGTTCCTCAGGTCTTTGCAACTGGACACCAGGCGCACGATTTGTTCGTCCCGTCTCTTGGTAACATAAAAAAACAATACTTGAGTATAGAAAGTAATCCCATAATTTAATAAAATCCGTCCAAGTTCGCATAGAACATGGGCACCGCTTTCCGTACTTTATGTAACACGCAATAACTTTCATTTTATACAGCAATTTTAAAGATTTAGATAGCAATAATGGCTACTGAGAAAATCAGCCGTGACCAAGAGACGGATACCGAACTCTGGCTACAAGGGTTCCTTTTCGACAGTTTTTCTTCAGAACTGAACTTAAAAAAAAAACAAAAAAATAAACAAAAGAAAGTCTTTACTATCTTTTCTGACCGACTTGAAAAAAGAAGAAGGTTTTGAATTCGTCTTTCTGTGTGTACCGATGTGAACCGATTTCAATGATCCTTTTTTGTTGGAAACGGGGTACTTCAGTAATGGTCTCATTGAAATTTGAAGAAAATATTACACCTCTAAATTAGGAGATGAATCCGTTTTATTGAATTTCAAACAGCTAAAATGGATAAGAAAACGTCTGAGGTCGGTTTTTTTAATAAAAAAGTTATACTTATCTGTTAGTCTCTTAATAGGAATATTAACACGCTAACAGGGTAATGTGCTACTCACAAACTTACGTCACAAAATATGAACTTCGTCTCTAAATAGTGATCATCAATCATGAATGGATAAATCAATCACAAAATCAATCATGCACATTCGATCGTGTTTGATTAAATTTTTGTCACCTGAATATGGCAAGATTAGTGGCTCTATAATAAAAGCGATGTGGGTGGTCTTTAGGTAAATGAAAACTTTATTTATCATTGTTGTTGTGTATGGTGTTCTTTTTTTTGCCCTCCTTCAATTAGTGAATATTGGTAGCTTTGCATACTTTTCTCAACATTGGCAAGCCTAAACATGTCGTACTCGCATTGTCATTCGTTTATGATTCCACAACTTTCCGATTTTATTTGCGGTCAACTTCTCTATTTCCAAGCAACTTATTCGTATCATATAAAATTTAAGTACTGTTAGCATTACTGCGTTCCAGTTAGAAAGGTAAGGGGGTTGGTGAAATTACAGGCACATGGGACTTGTCAACTTATGTCTGTCTGTCAATTGTGACGAGCACAGTTGCAGTGTCCGTCAGATGTTTGCGATTTAAAGGTCTGACTGGCAGTGCAACTGTCCTGAATAGGCGTGTAGCTTACCATTCGGGCGCACGAATTAGTCACTTGATATTATAAAAATAAAATATCGTTTGCAGCAAATCATATATGTCCTGTTTATTCTTGCCTCATTTATGTGACTTTTTATTGTTTGTGTTGGAGTGCTGGTGAATGGCAAATTACAATAGTTTCCAGTACTCAATTAATGGAATGATTTTATTAATTAGTAGTTTTCTGCGGGCATTTGAAAATTTCAACAGATTCATAATGTTTGTTAACGACACGGCTACATAAGAATAAATTTTGGTGAAAGTACAGGCTCGTGGGACTTGTCAACTTATGTCTCAGGGTGACGCGCAGTGGCAGTGCCCCTCAGATCTTTTCGATTTAAAGCTCTGACTGGTACTGCAATTGTTATAGACAGGCGTGTTGCTTACCATCAAGCGCACGACTAGTTCGTCCCGTCACTTGATATTATATAAAAAAAAAAGTAAACATAAGTATACATATAATCAGTAGAAGTAGAGCTCCTTGTGAGAGAGTTGGTCCAGGAAAGTACTTTGAAAAGCATAAGTGCTCGTAAACATTAGGTAGTCGTGTCAGGCATGTTGCTTGTCACCAGGTTAGTTCGTCCATCCACTTGATATAATAAAAAATATACATCAACGTACCGTTTCGGGTTTAGTGGATATAACTTTTTTTATGATACCAAGTGGTCATGAGACGAACAATTAGTGTGCCTGGTGATAACCGACACGCTTGTCCGTTACAAAGCCGCTCAGAGCTTTAAATCGCAAAGATCTGAGGAGCCCTGCCACTGGATTCATCACCCTGAGACATAAGTTGAAAAGTTCCATGTACCTGTAATTTCACTAGCACTCTTACCCTTCACAACGGCAGAATTAGGTAAGGAAAGGCAGTACTTCCCTGGACGAACTTTTTTAGCAAGAAGCTCTACTGCGATTAGTTTTAATAACAACCCCAACTAAATTACGAAAGTTAAAAAAAGACATTTTTTAGAACTCAATGGCTTATTTTCGCAATGCCCTTTAAAGTACGAATTATCGTGCAGATTGTGCTGGCGCCGTGAAATCGGCAACGTCATGCCTCATTTACTGTTCGGTCAATGTCAACGAAAAGCGACCGTTTTTCCAATTAAGTAATTATGAGACTTATGAAATTATTAACAAATCTTAAATAGTATTAAACCAAGCAAATCCAAACCAAATTAATAACGACATTTTTTTCATTTAGAAGTGTTAGAGAGATAGGTATACAATTTATTGCTCACAAACAAGACAGACAAACAACCTTTGTGGTAGAATTTTCGAGAACTTAAATATTTTCACTTTACCTTCGATGTATATTTATGAAGGTTGTAAATTTGTCAAACAGTATCTAAAATTATTTAAAAAATCAATAGAAATTAATCCACGCGCAAAAAGAAACCCAGACAGACTTGTTGTTGAAAATATACCTAAAACTACACTCTACTTAAAAAGTTAATATTGCATGTGCATGAAAATTAATAATAGACTACCAATTGAAATAAAAAATCTGACATTTAAAAGAATGACAACTGAACCGTATAAATACCGAGTTAAAAAAGAATATTATAGTGTAAATGACTACTTAGAATATAAAATTTAATTTTGCATGCTGTTGTATAATGGCTGAATAGATTAACTCAATTGTAATAACTGTAATAACCTATCAATGCAAATAAACCTTATTTCATTTCATTTCATTAGAGGAAAGTTAATCGGAGCGGGTGACGTGTGCCAATGTATAAAACAAATGGCTTGTATAAATTAAAAAAAAACCTTACGTTACAATTTATCACATTTTATTTAATAATAACGATAATTACACCTACATAAATATATTTGTATATATGTATAAATATATCTAAATAAACTTATACTTCCTAATCAATATATTATACACGTTGCAGACTAGGATCGTGTTAGAAGATATTTACGTAATTTTTGAAAATAGGGAGCGACTTAGAATGTCGGGTATAAAACGGGGGTTCGTTCCACAATTCTGCAGTCTTAATCGTAAAGGAATCTTTGTAATACTCAAGTCTTAATATTTTATTTTAAAAAATGTTTCCAGTACGTTGAATCTTACACTAAAACGACCATATTTAATTTTTGAATGACTAGATATTAACAATCATTTCATACTCTAGTCACTTGTAAAATGTCTGTGGTAAAATGCATACTTTCCTTTAGAATAAATTTATTGCACATAAACACTTACCTGTTTTTAAATGTTTCCACTTAACTTTAGTCAGTGCGCAATTGTTAGAGATATTAATAAGAAATTATTGATATATAGTACCAGTACTAGATTAGTTCCGTGGTGATACCAACTGAAATGACACCCTTTTTTGTTACAATTCAAACGACGATGTCGATAACGTCAAAATCATCAAGATAGTTTGGTTCCACAGTAGGTCGATGATCTTACGTTATAAATCGAATAATAAATTATAAGTAAATAAATATTAGACAACATCACATACGTTGCTCTGATTCCAAATTAAGTAGCTAAAGCACTTGTGTTATGGAAATCAGAAACAACGACGGGACCATCCAGACCCGAGACAATATAGAAAAATTAGTTTTCTATGCTGACCCGGCCGGGGATCGAACCCTGGACCTCATTGATGGCGACACCATGAAAACCGGTGTGCAAGCCACTCGACCGCGAATGCCGTCATAATACTAAGTTCAATCTTCTTTAGGTGAATTAAAAATTCGAGTATAAAGTTTTTAGCCCTATTTTGTGCAAAGCAGTTCTTTTTTAATTTTAGTCAAGATTAGTTAACATTGACGATTTATCGCTCATTAAAGTGTGAAGACAGTGAATTATCTGCACTTTACTAGTACTTATCTTAATTTTGGTAATTTCTACTTTATAAAACTCGATATGAAAAGCAAAGTTATTAAGCAATTTTACTCTTCTTTTCCAGATTATCTTAGCAGCGTCCCTATGCTTGGCTAAGGCGTCGTATTATGCAGGCCCGCCAGCTCACATCCAGCTCAGTCCAGATGGCAAATACGTGCTTGATACTCCTGAGGTAGCTCACGCTAAGGCGGCTCACTACGCGGCTCATGCGCAGGCGTCGACGCACCACGGCGCGTGGGCGCCCGCACTTGGCGGCGCGTGGGCTGGCGGACCCGCGGGTTATGCTGCTGGACATTATGGCGCACCTGCTGCTGGTTAGTTCTAATCACAATTTAAAATTTACACGATTTGATCGAAATACGAGAACTTTTTTAATAATTTCTAGTTTATTAGTATATGTAATATAATACTATAATATAATCCCGTTACTCGGTCACACTACTCCAACCGCCGCCTTCTAGGACCAATCCTAAGTATCACTCCGCTATCGCTAGGTTGTCAAGAACTTTTAACGCACTTGATCAAACAATAGATGTGTTCATCGATTCGTTCCATGTTTTTAAATCTAAAATTTGAAGGAATCCATTTGGGCGTAACTCAGAATGTTTATTTTTCTTTACTTAATATTAATTAAAATATTTTTGAATTCTGCCCCCTGTTATAGCTAAAATTTTCTTTTTGTTTTGTTTGCATGTTGTGGCGTCTACATACATTTTTAAGTCTTCGTTATTCCCTAGATTTATTGTATCTACCACTGGCAGTCCTTAAATAAATAAAGTCACATGATGTCATGACGTATTATGTCAAAAGTGCTTTAATAACATGAAAGTCATAAAAATAATACGGAGTACATGACACAAATTACGTAAATGTGAAATTTTACAACTTTCCTAATTAATCATTATAAAATTATATACTAACTTGATTCGTAGAATTTTTTAAATTCGGCCCTGAAAAGTTGTCATTTTGCAGATGTGACTTTATTACACTTATTAAACTCCTTATTATAACTAAAGTTCACGATCTAATCGACATTTTTAACGAACTAGGCCATTAAAATATCTGGGATCACCAACACGCACGCACTCATAGCACTAGGGAAACCCTATATCAAACGTGCCATGGATACACACATAGACAACCACAAATACACCCAAACTCACGAGAGAAATAAATGTAGGCCATATAAATGTTTCTACCGGCCCGGGAATCGAACACGTCACCTCTGCGTGGCAGTCCAGTATCGTAACCGTTCGGCCACAGAGGCAGTTATAATTTATTGACATTTTTTAGGTGACTATAAAACTTTAGGTGCCAATAACCCGAAAATTACCGAAGTGCAAATGCGTTAGTTATTACAAGAAGGGCAGTATGCCAAGGGTGAGAAATAACAAACTGCTTGTTGATGAATGAGAGTGAAGAATCACTACTTATCCACTGTTCTATCTATTTGATAGATATTATAATACGAAATAATATGTATTTATCTGTCTAATAGTCTGTAGTCATTTAATATTTTTGCTATTGTTTTTTTTTATTATTATTTTATTACATAATTTAATTTTGTTTTCTTGTGTGCGTAAACCCGTTTTTGTAATTATTGTGTCCTTTATGTTGGTCTGCAGGAAGAAATTTCTTAATAAGCTGTACCTTTTGTTTTTGTTTTCCATTTTACTAAATGTGATTTGAGTTTTCCTGTACAATAAATTATTAAATAATATAAATGTAAAACCTGATGATTTTTTTCCCAATAACAGGTCTTCACAAATACGGTCCCGCACCTCTAGCGCACGACGGACGCGTCGTGGACACCCCTGAGGTAGCTCACCTGAAGGCCGCGCACTTGCAAGCGCACGCGGCGGCTTCCCACGGTGGACACGCGATCGCGCCGCTCGGCTACGCGCATGGTCCTGCGCCAATTGCGCACGGTCTTGGTTACGCTGGCGGTTACGCCGGTGGATACGGAAAATGGACCGGTCCTCCGGTTAGTATATCTACGTCTACTTCAGCTTATAACAGTATAAAACAAGGTCGTCTCAAAAATGAGCTGACTAAACTAATACTAGTTTAATAAAATGTTGGAAAATTGGTGCATAGACAATTCCCAGGAAGCACAGAGCTGGCTAAGCGAGGATAATGAACTTTATAGGCACCGTGGGGCTCCTTTCGTGCACTCCCCTAAAAATAATAAAGTCTAAGAAGATCTTAGTTGTTGTAGAGCTCTTCTTTCCTTTTTTCTTCTCATTACCGACCAAGGCTCTAATGAGAAGTAAAAAGTTCTGCGGGTTTTATTTGGGGCATTATAGTCAAGTTAGCCTGCATGCAATCTTACCATTTACATGCAAGTGTGATGAAAAACATTATATGTTTCACGGGCGGTACAGGAATTACGAACTTCGACTCCGAAATAGTCTCTAGTAGATGTATTTCGGAGTAATCTAATAGAGTCTCGTTACTGCCTTTAATACACAATGTACTAAAACAAGCTTTTTATTTACAGGCCCATATCCAACTCACCCACGACGGTCAATACGTAGTGGACACACCTGAGGTACAACACGCTCGCGCCGCCCACTTGGCTCAATACGCTCACGCCGCCGCTGCCGCCGCTGCTGCCCCAGAAGAACCTTGGGGCCATGGACCTCACGGTCATGGCTCCTGGTGAACCCTACCTCTACGACCCTACCAGTGCACTTATTTCACGTGACCCTTTTTATACAAAACACGAAAATCCAAAAAAAATCTTGTATATATAAAGTTGAATGTCTGTAAGCTAGCAAACTGCCACTCTTGTAGAGCGAACATGAAAATGTGTAATAAAAAAAATCTAATAATTTTTAAACTTTGCTGTTTTTCTTTACCCATATACTTACTCAATTAGTACATTGCTGTTGAACAGGACTTCAATGTAAACGAGTTCAATGTAGTTGCGATAAGGGAATAACAATAATCTCAGTACAGAGAAAAAACCGACCTCAAAATCATTCATCCCCTAGTGTGCCACCCTTAGAGGTGGAATATTTTCTTTAAATTATAATGGGACCACTACTGAGGTACCCTCTTTCCACCATAAAAACAATCATCAAAACTGGTTCACAAATGTCGGAGTTATCGTGTAACATACATACAAAAACAAAATATATATATACAGTGGAATAGAGATAAAAATAAAACGCACCCTTAGTGTAATAAGGCTACATCTGCAAACTGACAGCTTTTCAGAAGAGAGCTTTAAGTATTCTACGAATGAAATTAGTCGATCACTTTTTTCGGTCATTCTTGGACTAGTTAGTGTTCAGTAGTGGCAATTTTTATTATTTAAGTGTTCCATTTTTTGTCGTACAATATTATTTAATTTTTCTGTATTGTATCGTGAAATATTATTTATTAATTACACAATAATATACATGAATATTTAAATAATAAAAATTGCCACGGAAATTAGGTAGTGATCACTAGTCCCGCCCGGGTTTTATCGGGTTTTTACTCAAAATTGTGAGCAGAAATGGCGAATACGGAATAATTCGAAACTTATTGCAAATGTCCACGTAAACAATCTTTTTTAGAAAAAAAAAGAGAATTCCTCACGATACCCACCGTGCAATCCTGTAGAATCTCAGTAATAAGGACGCACACTACGATTCGATTTTTATGAAGATCGATTCAAGTGCATACGATCTAACGATTTTTTGTATCGATTTATTCCAATGCAATTTTCATGCGAATCGATTCAATCGAAAGGCAAACCGAATCGTTTGGATTAGAAAACAATAAAGACTGCAATAATATAATTGAATTTGAACAAAACTCGATTTACAACAAATATATAGTTGTAAATAGATTTCGCCCTCGATTTCGGGCGTTAATTATTTTAACGATTTAAACACGGCGTTAACAAAGCGCCGGGCTAAAACTGAGATGCTTGCCATCTCTGATCACAGATGAATAACAAATCGTGTGTTGTTGCCTCAGAGTAAATACCTCCAATGTGATTTGAACGAATTTTTCAGGAAGAACAAAAAAGAGTGCTGTAAAATATACGAGTAGTAAGCACTTGTTCTTAGTAGTTAGAGATTAAATTAATTAAATTATACCTCTCTTGGATGCTAGATTAGTCTAATAAAATACATAGGTATTTAAACAAATTTGGATTTAACAAAAATTAGGTGAAATAAAATATGTAAAAATGCGTAGCCGAATTTTTCGCAATTGTTACATATAGGAAAGGAAACTACCTCTATTTTTCAGATCTAAATAGCATACAATTGTTCTTTCAATCAAACGCTCAGTAAAAGGTCAATAATAATTAATATAAATAAAAATAATTTAACTAAAAAAAGATAAATAATAAAAATACAAGGACGTGAAATAAAAATAAAGTTACGATTTTTTCTAAATAAGTTTCTCAATATTGTAAAATTTATTACCCAACAAAATGAGTTATAGTCAGGTATAAAATATTTCGTCATGGTGTTTATAATATATATCAAATTTGCAGATTTAACCTATTAAGTATTACACTTCCGTTGAAAATGATATTTGCAAAAATGTACAGAAAACGAATTGTTTTATTTTTTTTTTGTTGTCAAGGGCTACTGAGCATATTAAATGTGGTACAAATTTTGTAGAGCTCTAAAATGTTGTATTATTTCAAAAAGTATTATTTTTCTCTATGGAAAAATGAAGAAATGCATGATGTGCATTGACTTACAAATAAATGGACGACGGGTCTAATACAAAAACCACGAAAAAAATGTCCCAAGTCAACCTATTCGAAATTTAAATTGTTATGTCATCGCAGTATCGCGCTGTCCGTAGAACAAATGAAGACGTGCGGACACTTTTTAGCGCGGACCCGACGTCCATATAATTGTAAGTCAATGATGATGTGCCTCTTTTTGGCGTATATTTGTCATTCTTAATTTTCATTGTGGGTGAGATTATGATGATACGCGTTACATCTGCGCTTAGTTCTGTGTTTCTCACTTGTAAGTTACTCTGTAATTATATTTTTGGATTCGTTTACCTGAGCTTAATTTCCCCCTACTTCTCAGCATTACAAATGACAACTACATAATTATTGATACAAAGATCGAACACTAAGAAAAAATTTCTTCGATCTGGCTGAATTCTAAAAAAGTCGTTAAAAACCAAAAACAAGGATCTGCAACAAGCACGTAGAAAAATTCGTGAGGTCCGCTAGTTCGTTCCGTAGCTTAGTTGGCTTGGTTCGATTCCAGCCGGATCGAAGGATTTTTTTCTCTGGTGGAGTAATTTCACAAGAATAATTAAATATCATGGTGGTCAACCATCGTGACAATCAATAAACTTTAAAATTAAATGTTATGGACATGTTGTTTTCATTGGAAGTATGTATGTTATTTCAGGTAATGCGTGAAAAATACGGCATGGTACCTGTATCGGACCCAGAAGGACCGTGTCGGAATGACGGTACTGGGGGTCGATTCAGAACCTTACGATAAGTCGGTTGTAGTACGATTTCTTTTCATTTGTATTCTCAACACCCGAATGGAACGTCAAACTGTCGTAGTCGAAACCGAACCGAAATTACGTCACACATGTACGATTACTCGAACTTCTTGACCGGCAAAGGCTACAAACGTTATTCAGCAAACAGTTATCGAATGAAAGTTACTTAAAATGGAAAATAGTAAAAATAGTAAGTAGTAAAATGGAAATCTGGAAATCTCTTCTTATTTTAAATAAAGTCTGGAGTTTAATAAAATGTATTAATTTATTTTAATGCAAGACTAATGAATGCATTTCTACATTTTAGGCCGTTAAAGACTTCAAAATGTGTACAAAATGATTTTCATTTTTCTTATAATCTATTTGACCGACTAACTCCGTAAACGCTTATGAATAACGATATCGAATATCGAATATATCGAATCGATCTTTAATATGGTTCTGATCTGGGTGCTCTAGGTTGTGGCCCTGTGAATATCGTTGCTGTGGCAGTATGGGATCGTGACATTATTTTGTCTCCATGACATATTATATCTCCATGACATTCCTTTCTCCCGCCTCTATTTTCCCAGTTTCTTAGACGTGCTGGTGCGTACATTTTTTTTTTTACTTTTTGCGCTATTTTGTATTCAGAGTGACCGACGATGAACCCATTGTTACCCGTACAGCACTAGGAGAGGAAAAATTATTCCTGCTACAAAACCAGGTTACGCAGCATGGTATGACCGGTACTGTACAAGAAAAAAAACCTGCTACATAACCCAGTTATTTGTAAATGTAAGTTTTATAATAATACCATAAAAACGCAACCGCTATTACAATATTTATACAAGAATATGCAATATTCTTTATAACTAGAATGTTAGGACATAAAGTTACACTCTACCCCTAACACGGCTGATCTTAAAAAAAAACTGTCATTGCTTCATACATGACAGGCAGGGATGCCACATGAGTAAAAAATATCCTCTTGTGTCAACCCTACCAAAATAGGTAAAAACTTTGCACGCTCTTTAGGTGCTTTGTCTCTGTTCCTTTTCTTTACTCATGTGGTAATGCCACAGATTACTTATAGTTACTACGTAAGTAATGATGTTATCAAATACACACACACAAAGACATGTTGGCTGTCAAAGTTCAGCACATTTTCTTATGTCGTTTTTTCAGCTACTTTTACAATCTATGGAGTGGTAACATATAACCTGCCTAGACCTGGCTGACCTAGATATACTCTACATAACGTTTACTGGTAAATTAATTTGGCACCGGGAGCATAGATTTCGCCATAATCTTCGCAGTGCCATGTGATTTTTATTTATATGCTAAAGTTGAGTAACGTTTGTATTGCTGTGTAAAAAACTACAGGCGCTATATAATATTGCTAAACTGAATTAAGAAGGCGTTTACAAATTTATGTTGGTTTTATTTTATAATACATTATAAATGTGACTAACTATGTAATTGGCTACGTATATATAAGTTTGTAAGTGATCATTATAGACACATTTAAAAGTCCTCAGTTTGCAAATAAACCAACGAATTGACTTTGGATTTCCTTTTTTTACCCGACTTTCAAAAAGGAGGAGAAAAAAATAGACGAATTGAGAATAATTCATCAGTATCTTTTTTTTGTATGTGTGTTACACGAAAACTCGCCGGAGTTGATAGTTTCATTTGTGAATAGATTTTCCCATTTAAATTTGAAGAATATATTCCACCTCTAAGGGTAGCACACTAGGGGATGAATCACGCACTTTTCGGAAACCGATTTCAATAAAACTTGGCAAATAGATGTAATTCCACGAACTTTTGAGCTTGAGTTTTTTAGTACATGTACTGAGATTGTTTTCTTCATTATTATTTTCCAAAATTTTAACCATATTATCTTTAGCTATTTGACCTCAGCGGCTTTCTATTTTTTTGTTATATATTTTTTCTTTATAGGCATTGACTTACAAATAAATTGACCACGGGTCTAATACAAAAACGACGAAAAAAATGTCCCAAGTCAACCTATTTAAACGTAGTGACATGTAAAGGAATATGAAAAAGCTAAGACGTTGAATTTAAATTGTAATGTCATCGCAGTACTGTCTAATTTTGCTTGCTTCGCTGTCAGAAGAAACAAACGAAGACTAAAGCGTGAATGACGCTCTGTATACGATTTTAACGCCCTATA